AATAAGTTAGGGAAGTTTTTGCTACTAGGAGTAAATGTTTATGTTATGATGGGGTGCCATTGTGTTGGGCGCTGTACAAACAGAAAAGAACCAATACCTGCCCTGAAGGAATTGCCATCTAGTTTGCGCGAGGGTTGTCAGAGCACACTCATGGCTGTCCCTGTCACTCTGATGGGGAGAGGGCAGTTGCACAGACCGAGCGCATGAATTTGTCACCTGGAGTTTGTCTTGCCCAGCAGGATTCCGAAGCTGGCTGTTTTAAAAAATGTGCTAGCCACTCTGTGCTACTGCAGCAGAGCAAAAGGAGAGAGCAGCGGTCTGGATCTGGCCCCCGGAGTCTCTGCAGAGATCTGTTGTCTTTTGTGAAACACAGTATTGTCAATCCCAAGTGTTTAAGAATCATGAGCCATGCCCCCAAAATCATGAGATTGGCTTAAAAGTCATCAGACTTTAAATATAAAAAATGTAAAGTTCTTTTTCTTTGCTTCCTGGTGTTGGAGCCTCTGGGTGGACAGGGGTTGTCACACTTTTCAAGCTTTTTTCCTGCAACTATGAGGGCTAGAAAGGTTGGGGGCTTGGGTGGGGGGTTGTTTTTGGTTTTAATAAAAGCTGAGATTAGCTAGTATGATTCCAACAGCTGGGGGCTTAAGAAAAACCTCAAATAGCATGACACTCATGATAAAATTGTGAGAACTGTCCACCCTGAAGAAACTGCTTCTGTCTGGGGGTGGGCAACACCTGAAGGCAGTTACGTACTGGGGTGCTGCTTCAGAGTAAGAATACAGCTGGTTGAAATACTTTTGACAAAACTGTTTCTAGTCTAACCCAAAAAGTTTTGCCGAAATATAGCCGTCCCAGCAACAATTTCCTCAGGAAGCGTTCCTGAGCTAGACGAAGAGGTAGACTGTAGCCTAGTGGTTTGGGTGCTAGCTTAGGAAGCAGAAGATCCAGTTTGAAGGCCCTGATTTGGGCACATACTAGGGCAGTGCCCTAACCAACAGGCTATAGAGTCTTTGGGTATGTCTTCAGAGCAAAAAAAAAAAAAATCCTCTGCATGCTTGTAGCTGACAGCAAGGTAACAAGTTAGCAGCTTGAGTTGGAGCCTGGGGTTGAACCTGAGTTGGTAACCTGACATAATGCCCTAGTTGTCTTGTTTTCATTATGATTTAACCCGAGTTAAGAACAGGATTTGAGTTTTTGGTTTTGGTTTTTCCCAACTAAGACCTCCACTCCCCATTTTGCAAAATCTTTCAAAAAGTCATTTTGGCTCCACATCAGAACAAAAACGTATTTCAAAACCTCAAAAGGTTTCATGAAATGGAACAGTTGCTTTCCATTAGGTGGGAGACTCCTGGGAACTGCTACTTTAAAAATTCTGCCCCAAAATGGAAGAGTTGGGGTGATTTTTCTGTCACTGGAGTTCATTCCCTCTCTGGGTACTTCCAACTCCTCCCTTCTACTAGGACTAATCTCTGTGGCTCATAAAAATACTTCTTTTTCTGAAGAGCAAATATTTTTGCCCTTGGAATGGTTGAGCTTTACAGGTACATCATCTATTTAATTGTCTTCATTGCCCAATGTATAAATACCAGAACTGACTTTTTATTATATGTTTTGTTCCTTTGGAAATGAGCATGAACAGGAAGAACATAGCATGTACGGTTGTCTTCACACCACTGAAACAAAAATGAACTCAGAATGAAGTTCTGTTTCAGTGCCAATCTGCCTTATCCCAAATGTTATTTATGAGCAAGCTATTTAAAATAAGCCTTGTTTCCTCCTTAAGTGCTTAGAAATTTGCCAGATAAGTCAACAGTACATTGTATTACTGGTATTGAAATGTGTTCCTATAGATCTAAATCTGAATATTTTCAAAATCTTAAGCCTTAATGCCATATATGGGGGAAAATCCTCTTCACGGCAGTAATCGCCAACCCTTTTCTTCATCCTGTTAAAATAAGCAAAAGCTGATTCCTCTCATTGTACCCTGGTGTGAGAATGCTGCTTATTGAGTGCCCGTGCTGAGGGAACAAGCTGGGGATGTGTGGGACTCCCCCATGCCATGTCCAATTGTTCCTCCAACTCATCTCTGTATTGTGCTCATCACTGTAACGCTTCAGACAGTGGAAGGCTGCTGGAGTAGTTTCTTGGTGGCAGAAGCAGCAGCAGTGGCTTTCCTAGACCATATAACATACTTAATTACAAAGTGTTCTGTATGATCAGGGAAAGTTGTAAATCATAATGCTTTTTTTCACTCTATTGTCTCTAGGCCAGGACCTCCTTCATTCTGAGTTCATATAATGGTTCCATGGTTTTTAATTAATATATGTTCATCCTGGAAATCTATCATTTTCCCTTCCCTCTACCAGGAGAGATTGTGGAAGGCAGGGGAGAGTGAGGGAGAGAGGTGTGAAAACAGAGCAGGGGAATACCTTTTCTCTCAATCCCTTAGGAAAAATTAAAAGATTAGATCCCATTGAAGCTCTTCGAAACTGGCTGGTTGTTTTATGTAATACTTTCTACAGCTGCCTTCAAAGCAAAATAAACTGCACTGTCTTTGGGACTTGTCCTGCTGCATCGTACTCATGGGGAGGGAAACACGGGCCAAGGAACCTTGGAACTTTCAAGGGATCTCTAATTTTAGGTGTTCAGTTTCAGACATTTGGGGACAGATTTTCAGAAGTGCTGAGCACCCAACATTCCATCACCACTGAAAATCAGAGGTATCTTAAGTTGGACACCCAAAATTAGAGGCCCCTTTTGAACATCTGTCTTAATGCCTGTCCATGGATTATTTTATTAGCTTTCTGGCAGTTGCGGGCCCTTGTTTTAAAAAGGCCGATGATTGAATCATTGGGGACGGACACCAGCCTGCCAGCATCATCCTATTTCTAATACAACGAGGACTGATAGGGTATCTTTTTTGCAGGGTCAGCACAAACTTCTATTGGGTCTGCTCCAAGGCTCATTAAAGTCAACAGGAAGACCTCTGACATAGACTTCAATGGGCACAAGCTTAGACCCTACACAAGTGTGCTGGCTGAAACTTTAAGAACAACTTTTTCATCAAAAATACATCTTGATTTTTTAAAAAAAGGTTTTCTAAACATAGCTTTGAAAAATGTCTCAATTTGTGGTTTGTCACTTATTTTTATAGAAAGAATTACAAACATCATTTTTTAAATTTTGAAATATTTTTTTAAAATCCCACCGTGTGACCAAACTAACAAAACTGTACTTCGAAAATGGAAAATGATAAAAAATAAATAAGTGAATTTCAAGAAACCTTGAGGGGAAAATGCAACTAAAACAAATCCACACAAAAAAATCAAACATTTCTAATAAAAAATATATGAAAATCATTCCAAAATTGTTTACACATTTTCTAACCAGCCCTACTGTGCAACCACATGACCCAGTAGCAGATAGTCCACCCGATAGTCCCAGGGGCAGCTCATCTGGCAGCTGCATAAACAAACTCCCAGAAATGCCCAGGCATCTGATCGGAGAAGGAAAAAACATAACCCTGCAAAAAGGATCTGCTTTTCTGACTTATTGTGTTAAAAAACAATTGGGAGCCCAATCCTGAAAAACATGGTGAGAAGAGGCACACACATATGCCTGCCCAGACATGACAGACTGAGCCCTCCAAAACTCATAAATGAGATGAGATTTTTAAATCTCACTGAAATACTCCAGCAAGCAGCTTCTGCACTGGAGACAGGTACTTTAAAATTTAGCCAAACATAAATACATATCCTTTTCTCAAATGAATGAGATTTGGTAGAGGAAAGTATCTTAAGAAAGGGACAAAGCTTTACAGTTAGGTCCTTTGGTTTTAATTATTCTGTCTATATTTTTATAAATCTAAAGATATAAAACAGATGCGACAATACTGAGATCTGTTTCTAGCTGGGTACATACACATTTGAAGTTTAATTATTCTCTCACCAACACAGTAGTATATGATTGTATACCATTTTTCATCCAGGAGGATCCCAATATGTCTTGTAAACTGATATATAAAGATTACATAGGGATCACTTTACCCATCACTGAAATGTAACCACCTCTAGCTGTTTAACAGTATTCAAGAGTTTGGGACAGGGAGTGAAGAATACTGTATCCCGCTATTTGTGTAAGGAACTTGGAAAGGGAAATAACATCCAGACCTACCTATTCCACCCAAATACTAGCCCCTTCCTGAACAGTCCTTTAAATGTTTTTGTTCTGCACCCCAGGAGGAAGGGCTCCAGGAACCATTTGTCTGCCAACCAGCCCTCTACCCAACTGAGGGTGTGCGGGGGTGTCAAATGTAAAATGTGGTTAGAACTGGTTCAGTTTTCCAAAGCGGGATTACTTGACAAAATATTAGTGAAAAATACATCTTTTATTTATTCTCCCCGTTTTTCTTTGTTGCACAATTTTCAACCAATTCTAGGGGTTACCTAACTGGGAATTTGACCAGGCCCCTAACTAACATGCCACCAATTACAAAACATGCCAGGGGATCTTTAATGACTCCAAGGGGTCAGGCATTTGATCCACAAGAGGCATCCCTTGGCCTAGGCCAGGGGTTCTCAAACTTTTTTTGCTGGGACCCCCTTTTAAAATATTTCAGGCTGACGACCCCTCATCCCCCCCCAAAAAAGTGACAACACCCCCACACACACCGCGCCACCCTTATTTCTTTAAAAAGAAGAACAGGAGTACTTGTGGCACCTTAGAGACTAACAAATTTATTACTTATTTCTTTGCTGCTGCTGGTAGCTGGGCTCTGGAGACCCCCTATAATAGTCTTGTGTCCCCCTTTTGGGTTGGGACCCCCACTTCGAGAAACACTGGCCTAGGCTCTTGTTGCCTCACAGTGTTAGGAACAGCCCAGTCTTGATCTCCAGCGCCCCCTGGATGCCTCGCTCGTGGGAGAGGCCCATGTGCCATTGAAACAGCTCCCGGCGCCCTGGCTCATTGCCCCTGCGATCAGTGCGGGGTTGTCCTACTAGTAGGCAGGGGACAAGAGGACACCTCCGCAGCGCTTCTAACCTGCTCGGGCAGCAGGAGGCGAGCTGTGGCTCCCCCGCTGGTTGGCGGCCTGCGGCTGGGTTCTCCCTCCGTCCGCGAGCTCGGCTAACGGGGGGGAGATGCCTGCTGCCGCTTTCCTGCTGCAAGGGCGGCCGGGGACCCGCCGCTGGGCACATCAAAGGCGGCGGGGCTGGGAGCATTAGCGGCGGCAGCGACTTCCCCCGCGCAAGCCGGGTGGTCGCCGCAGCGGCTCGGTTGCAGAGCGGGAAGCCAAGGCTGGTCCATGGCACATCCCTGGGCCGAAGGCGAAGCGGGAGGCTGGGGAGGGGCCGGCTGGTCCTGGCACGGATTTGCTAATCCGGGGTCGGGTTTGCCTGTCAGAAATGCAGGGGCCGAGGCGGCGCTCCTCCCACCCCGCCACCCCCGGCAGCACGCCAGTTGTAGCCAGGGGAATTAGGATCCTCCAACGGGGGCTACCTCATGGTGACATCCCATCTGTGCTACAACGTAGCAGGCCCGATCCGCCGGCCGGCCCTCAACCTGACAAAACTCCCCGGGAAGTCAATGGGAATGTTGCTGGAGTGAAGGAGGGGAGAAACCCCTGCGGTACGGGGCCTTGTATTAGCATCCTCTACCCTCTTGAAATCTTACCCAGCTCTGCTTACGTGCTCGTAGACCCTGGTTAATGAGTCCGGGGTTTCATGGATGTTGTAAATTACAAGGAGAGCAGGGAATTCAAACTACAGCCCATGTCAAAACCAGTTTGGGTGGTGATGTGTATGGCTTTGTTTCTTCGCTTGTCGCTTTCTTTCTGCTGTATCCTCAATATATAAAGAGTTAGGCAGAGGAAAGTTACGTTATATAATAAAAATGGGCTTAGTAGCATTTTTCCTACGAGTCTAAATGGACACACCAGAGACACACTTTCTTTCCCAATACTTTGTAGCACACATGAAACCAACGGTTTAAGTGCTGTGACTTTTTGACCGAAAGGTAAGTTGCCGGTGGGGATTTTAAAACGTGGCACGTAACCTGCCTTTCATTATGAGCGAGTTGACTGATGGGGGGTATCCTAAATTGGTAGATGAACAGACAGATTATTAAACACCTGTCAAACCTAGTCTTACCACAAAATGGACACAAGATACACAAGTCTCACAGTTGTTTAACTAACTTAAAAACATGATTATCAATCATACAATATTTCTAAGTCGAAAGTATCTAAAATGAAGAAAGAGATTTTGATTTAAATGTGTATTATAAAAAAAGTCTTAAAACTCTCTATACTTCAAACAGTTACTAATAATATTAATTCATGGTCATATTCCTTTGAAGCTCACACTATTTTTAGGCTCCTTATCCTACAGTCCTTGTTCAGGGGAATCTCCCCTTGAAGTACTCTAGAGTAAAATGTACTCTATTCAAGGTCTCGCATTGTTCCTGACAAAATCATTAATCTTATGAAAAATGCTCTATTACTTAATTAGGAACATTCTGTAGTTTATGGGACATTTCACGATGAATTTCAGATGCCATTTTTGAACATGTGGTTCCTACCAAACCAAGTTAGCAAAACTCAAATTTGAAGTTTAAATTATGTTAATGAATTTCTCTTATCAGTCAGCAATACCGTACTCTAGTTGAAATAAGTATAACGGGGTGGATGTGACTACATTTTAACTAAGATGTAAAAAGGTATATTGCGGTATGATCAGTTATTATTTGAATTGGTTTTTTTAACTCCAAAAGTTTTAATTGTTAGTATCTGTAATTAAATCTTGGATTTTTCTTTATTGCTAGTGCTCTCTAACACAGCCCTTACAGACAGCAACATTGTAATCCTAATGCTATTTTGGTTGTATAGTGTGTATTCATTCATTGCGTTATATAAAACACGTATTACTGGCGATCGTCGTTTACATTTTGCAGAGCTGACACAATGCTTTCAAAAAACCATTTCAACTGATTAAAAATCTGTCTTTATTGAAAGGGAAAACAACTTCCTCTAGGTAAAAAACTGTACCTATAGTCTGTACTTAGCAAGATCATATTTTATAGGTCCCTCGCAGCCTTTCAAATAATTACTCTTAAACCAAAACAAAAATCCTAATATTTACATTAAACTTTCACTCGAAATCTTAGAACGTTTAATTATATAGTGAAACAGAGAAATCCGAGTACACGGCTTTGATATATATTGGATCATCTGCAGTGACTGTTTCAAAACAGAGCCGATTTTATAGTGGCAAAAGCTGGATTGTATTTAAATAGCTTTATAAAAATGTCATCACTTCAATGTTAGATGTAAACTTTATATAAAATGTACAAACAATGGAGCTACACAAGAAGGAGCATTAAACCGTACATCACCCATTCTATCTCCATGTGTATACGTGTTTGAGCACACATGAGCATATACATATTTATATATGTGTATGTGTACAGATACAAATAATTATAAGTACATGCACAGTGTATGTATATATACATATATGATTATAGACATACATCCACCATATATACATTCGCTTTATTGCTTTTTGCATATGTGTTTAATGAATTGTGTGTGTGTGCGAGAGAGAGAGAGAGAGAGAGAGAGAGACTATGATGGTTGACTGTCCACTGTCTCTATAGACAAAGACGTCTCCTGTGTAGAAGTGCAGTAGCCTGCAAAGTGTGAATAATTTTCAGTAAGGAGTTACACTAAGTGGGAAAGCTTTTAGCACATTATCCACTGGCAATTGGACTATAATCTAATTGTCAACCCTCGGGTCTTAATAGAGCCTTTCTCTTTCCACCATTGGATTTGCATCTGGGAGATACCTAATGGGTTTAAAACGCCTAGCATTTTGCTCCAATAAGCCACCTTCTCGGTGTAGGTGACATTGAGGTGTTTTTGTTGTGAAATTGGATATAGGTTAGCTGGGTTTTTAACGAGCTTGCGCAGACCGATGTGTGATCGGTGGACTGGAAATTCTGTATCAATTTCAGAAATAGATTTCAGCCTGGTTTTGTTTCGAAACCAAACAATCTAGTGGGATAATAAATCCGGAAGACAGAGCTGTATATAGAATTATGTACATCGAGGGAAAAAAGATGAGGCTTGAATCGAGAGCTAGCTGTCGAGATTAGATTACTCCAGATGCAGAAGAATAGAGTTGTAGCGATTGATGATGTTTTCTGGTGACATTTTTATTCTAAAGTGGCAATGCATGTAGAAGACATGAACGTGCTCTATTGTGTCCGTGTCAGTACACATCAAAAGCAAGGTTTCGGTTATAACCCATTAAAGGATACATTATTTTGATCTTGACAAATATGCTTGTCTCCCCTCTCCGCATATAAACACCTCACAAACAAGCAGCAGGCACTGGATATCTTGCAGCTGATAATATAGACTGGATCTGAAAACCGGGAAAGTGTAATTCCAGCTCCTGGGAAGATTTTGGGACATGCGATTATGATCAGAAAGTTTAACAGACATTCACAAGTCAATGGCACACGAATTTTGCAGCAGTAGTTTTGGCAGGCAGGCTATAGTGTATCACAATAATGGGTGATTATTCTGTCTGTAGGCACATGCTAATCGCTTAAAGGCGACTAGAAAACACAAGCAAAGCAGGGCGGGGGCGGGGGCGCGGGGATGGAATCAGACGCAAATCCCAAATTATCTCGGGGGTAGGTTGAGGTATCATCATATTAGCACAACTGTATGATTTCAAGGGAAATAACAGATGTTGCTTGTTTCGATGTACGTCGTGTTGGAAACTCCTTCTGAAACTCATTGCCCGAGTAAGGACAGATTTGCCTCTGTGTGACTGACAATGAACTGTGAGTGGCAGCATTACTTTTAAATGTAAGAAGAAGAAAAAATATTTTGACTCTGTCTTATAGTTTAAAGTAATAAAACAATTGCTTAAATGGCAAGTGTCGCTAGCGTGCAGCTGAGAAGTCATCTACTAAGGGTCCGATCCTGCAAACCCAGAAGACTAGTGGTAAGCACTACTCACATCAGAGTTTGTAGGATCGGGCCCTAAATCTAAGAAAAGGAAAACTGACCCATTTAATAAACATTCTTGTTGTATTGTAGGATTCCAGTTTTCTTCCTAGATTTTATCGTACTGCAGAGCCCATTTAAATGTTCTAACATTCGCAGGTTAGGAGATCATTAATATTTTCCCCACTGGGATTATAACTAGTGTAGAAAACTATTGCGATAAACTAAATAAAGTAAGTATATAAATTATTCAAAGTCAGAAGGTGGAATCCTGCCTTCATTGAAGTCAATGGGAGTTTTGCCACTAACAGCAATGAGACCAGGGTTTCACCCACAGTTTTCCCTGATGAGAGAATTTACCATTGGGAGCAAAGGCTTCTGATTTTAAATCGCACAGGGAAAACTGGTCCCTGAATTAATGCAGGCTAAGCGAACAGGTACATGGAGTATGCACCATATTGCCACTTCGCTTTTGGAATCGCAAAAGACACCTTGGTCTTGTAACTGCAGAGGAGAAATGAAGCTATATTGTAAAGTCAGAGAAAGCGCCGGGACAGCGGCACTGTGCACCGATCTGACTAAAATGTCAGTCCTAAAACTATCGTTAGTAACAAACGCCTGCATGTGCTTGGATAGCCAGGAAAGCTTCGGGAGGCAAATTGTGATCGGGGCTGGGGGAATTTTCCACTCCCAATCCCTCGCCGTCACCCCTCCGCAGATTGCTGGGAAATGCACATTCTGTGTGCCGGGCGCAGGGCAGCAGATGAAGGATTTGATTAAGCGGGGTAATAAAAGGACAAGCCCCTGCGCTCGGCCAGCACGGTTCTAACGTGTCCATTAGAGAGAGGGACGTTGGGTTTTCATTCTGCACTAGTCCCAGATTGGCGGCGGGTGGGTGGTATTTTATATAAGAAATAGCAGAGAAAGCACGAAGGAGCAATGCAGTGCCCAGGGTTTCCAACGAGGTGTCCGTCTGCAAAGTGACCAGCTCTGTAGTGATGGCTTGAGGGAGGAGGAGGGGGATTCTTTCTTCTCATGATCCACCCTGGGAGAAGCTTCCACCAAAGCGGCGGCAGAGCCTCTCTGGTTCACACTAGCAATTCAATGAAGGGCACGCACTGTGGTCACGGATAAACTTCCTTGCAAATTCCACTCCGGGGGTACAAACCCATAATGTATGAATACTAAGGCCGGGTCAAGTCCTGGAGTCCTTACTCGGGCAAAAGCCCGGCACTGGCTTCAGTGGGCCTTGTGCCCGAGTGAGGACTGCAGGAATTGGCCTGGCGGTAGTTTCCTGGCTCTAGCTCTTCCTTTCGGGGGAGACCGATGTTCTAGGAAATCGGGGTTGGCTTTGAGAGATGAATTCCCCCAAGGGATAGGAGATAAACAATCGGATCGAGACAAGGATAGGGCAACAGTTTAAACGCCTTTCTTCAGCCCTTAGAGTACACGGTAGAGTTTACCCCGCCAGTTCAGACGGACAGCGGGCCCTCCCTGTGAGTTCTGCTGAAGGCTCGGCTGAGAAGGGACCGAAGCCTGATCAAATTCAACTCCGCTCTCTTCCTTTGCTGCCCCCCTTGGCAGTCG